GGGATTCCGATTTGATTGCAGATATTGCGCGTCCACGGCCTTGCACGTGTTAAACACCCACTAAACGCACATGACAGGTGTATAGCGCGTGTGAAAGCCGTGGATCCGTCATAGTGCTGGCACGGGATTTCAGGGTTAGGGCCTGTTCCAGCTGGCGATTCCCTGGGCGTCCCGGGGCACAACTGCACCTCTGCCTTCAGAGACGGTGTGGTGCTGATAACATCAAGATCCTGGGTTCGATCCTCGTAGGGGCCATTGGCTTAAGAGTAGGACTCAAGGATCCTTGTGGGTCCTTTTCATCTCCGAATATTCTGTGATTCTGTGGAAGGACAGATGCTGGATGACTGCTGGCTCTCACCAGGAAGGGACAGTGGCATGCTGCCGAGACACACACGGCAGTTGGTCCACCAGTAGGTGGCCAGAGTTGTTTCTCTAGTGTTTGTCTAGTGACACCTCTAACCTCACAACGATAATGGAGGAGCTCATCCAGTCGGGGGGAATTCTGCAGTCATTATCAGTGACACAGGGTTTGTGGTTGGTAATTGTTATTTGGGCTGGTGGTCATGGAATCATAGAAGAGTTAAAGTTTGAAAAGACCTCTAAGATTACATGGAGTCGATCAGTTAACTCATCACCACTGTGTTCACCACTGGTCCGTATCCCTGGGTGCCACATTCACACATTTTCTGAACCCTTGCAGGGACGATGATTCTACCACTTCACCGAACAGACTGTTCCAATGCCTGACTGCTCTTTTAGTGAAGAAATTCTTCCTTATGTCTAAACCTCCCCTGGCACAATTTGGGGCCATTTCCTCTTGTCCTGTCGCTTGTTAGCTGGGAGAACAGACTAATCCCCACCTGGCTACAATCTCCTTTCAGGTGGTTGTAGAGAACAATAAGATCACCCCTGAGCCTCCTTTTCTCCAGGCTAAATACCCCTAACTCCCTCAGCTACTCCCCATATGACTTGTGCTCCTGTCTGTTCACCAGCTTCATTGTCCTTCTCTGGACATGACCATCCATCCTTGCTGGATGCAACACAGTAAAAAAAAAAAAAAAAAAAAAAAAAAAAAAGCCCTCAAATAACTACAGAAGATGGCTGAGAAAGGAAACAGATCTTTCTGTGTAATAATTTTTGCCTCTGAGGTACAAATGCAATGAAAGTAAAAGCGATAACGTTTTCCAAAAAATGTGGGATGGAAATACAGTTGTTTCTGTGGAGCATGTATATTGTACCAGTTCATATATTGTGTCTTAATTTTCTGCTGTGCTGAACAAATAAGTTACTTTTTAAAACTGTATTCTTTTATGAATTATTAACTACTGTTACAAATTGAACTTTCCTGAAGACAGCATGTGTCAAGTGAATAAAATAATTGCTTTCTTTTTTCTCTGGGCTGTGTAATTTTGGATCTATATATCTTAAATGAAATAGATCACTTTGACATGGTATGTATGACCCAGCCAGTAGCTAGCAAATGGCTGGCACATTTTTCCCATGGAAGAGATGTACTACAGGTGTTTACAGTGAAGTGGAGGAATGCTGGGCTCAGCTGCAGAAAATTAGCCTGTCAGCCCAGAAAACAGTGAGCTTTGAAGTATTTATCTGTACATTTAGGGTTGAGTTTGGAGTTAGGACAACTATGGAATAAGGAGAGAAGAGTTAATTTCTGAATTTTCTCTCTTTGAGCTCCACCAAATGTCTCAACTAAGCCAATTCTTAGTGTTTTTCAAAAGATAGATCAGACTTCAGCCCTGCATTGTATGACTTAGTTAAAGGCAGAATTTGTACCTAGAAGCACAGGAATAGAGTAGTGTTTGTGACTCTTATAATCTATTAACTACATTTTAAAACAGATAAGAAGTATTTAAAAGTTCTTAAGCAAAAACAGGAATTAAGCTGAGGTGTAATAAAAAATGCCTAAAACAAAGTTTTCCCTAAATACCTCTTTATTCTGGAGGTCTTATCTTCCAGGAACATCAGCTCAGCAAGAGGTGGGACAACTACACTTCTTGATTTGAATGAATGAGTTTTATTATTATTATTGAGTCTATTATTTTGAATTAAATCTTGTCCTAAACAATGGGGCCTTTGCTGTAGCTGTAAGGTGTGTATGTATCCTTCCACACCAATATGTTTATTAGCCTCTCAGAGTGTATTCCTTTCAGATGTCTTTAATTTCAAAAGCTGTGGTGAAGTTGTCCAAAACAGTGTCCTATTCCGCTTTCCAACTTTTCTTTGTTATAATAATGTTTAATACTGGAAAAGTGCAAATCTTACTGTATGTGTGGAGTTCCCTTACACTACCCAAACTGGCAGTTGCTTAAGAAAGGTTCAGTTCTAGTAATACTAGATAATGGTAAGGAGCTGTTATTCCTATTAATTTCTTTCTTACTTACCAGCAGCAGACTTTGAACTTTGAGGTGTAGTTGGAGTATACCCAGACACTAAGCTTACAGTCTAAGGCACTGATTCTGCCTCTGATGTTGAATGGAGAGAACCACAGCAAAGTCAGCAAAACTGAAGGGGGTGCAGTAGTCTGCTAGTCCTGAGCTACTTTTCTAATAACTTATTACAAAAATTGGTATAAAATATGACTGGATGCACTGGAAAAACCAAAGAGGAATGAACTGAAGACATGTTGTTAATCTTTAATTCTTTTTACCAATGATTTACCTAATGTCACCGCAGGAAAGAAAAAGTCTCTCCAGGACTGCACAGGATTGTGATTGTCTAATTTCTAGCAGATTTTCTGTTTCCTTTTGTTTTCATTTTAGACCTTTTGTCAGGACTGTTTGGTATAAATCATGAGTTACTGCTCTGAAGTTCAGATTTATACTTGGGAAACCTTCAGAGAATGTTTTTTACTCCAGTTTTGCTGATGTAAAGAATTTAGGTCATGTTGATGCTAACCTGAGTGCATCTTGTTATACATACGAGATGTAGATATTGATGCATAATACTGGATTTAGAAAAAACAGAGACAATTTCTTAATTTCAAGCTTCCTGAAATACTTAGGAAAAATAAAAATTATCATTCATGACCTGGACTAAGCCTTCATTACCTGTTGCACCCTTCATTTGTCTTGGGCAACCAGCCAAGTCTGAAATCAGTTTAGCAGGAACCTCCAGCTACTGACCTCATTTGGAAAAAAAACCACCACAAAACAAAAACTGAAACAAAACCCAAACCCCAGAACTGTTTGGAATAATCTACAAGGATCCAAGATTCAGGCAGGTATATGAAATAGCTCAGTCAATATGAATTCGAGCCATTCCACTGAATTCAGGTCTGAATTTGCCCTCATACATGTCAACACTGGTAATAATCTGGAAGATATCTCCTTCCTATTTTGGGAGGAAGGAGGGCTGTTCCTTGAGTTTCCATGGTGGAGCAATGGAGAGAAAAACGTGAAAATATGAATCTGTCTGAGGCACTATGACCTCTAGGATTCCTGTGTGTGAGGTATATGTGGCCATTTGACCAATGTATTTAACATTCCCCTTGGCACTCTTTGAAATTGTCTATTATAAAACAGATGGTGCAGTAGTTACTTTTTCAAGGGCTAGAAGAGCATGACTACATCTGGAATTAATCTTTAGCTCCCTAAACCAATAGATCACCAAGTTTTAAGAGGGCCTTCTAATATAATTGCATTGCACAAGTACAGAGAAAGAATACACGGCTTTAAGGCAAAGTATAAGCAGTCCGGAACTATAATTCATAGACGCACAACTCTTTCTGTTCAACTGTCTCATTTTGGGCAAGTATTTTCTACAAGAATTCTTTTTATTTTCATTGAGCAACAGCAGTAAGTTAAATATGTAACTTCTCAAATGAGATTTTTTAAAATCCATAAATTTTCAGGGTTTCTATAAAGTATTTTTCTTTTTCTGTTGGCAACTACAGTATTCCTAAAGAGATGACCTCTTTCATTTTCATGCTGTCCTTTTCCCAAAAGGATAGCTAAAAGTTGTATTAAAATAGCATGCACACTAGCATCATTCAAATAAAGTTAGTGATGGAGTTTTGGATGATTATTAAGTATTATAACACATGCTCTGAAGAATGATGGGAAAAGGGCACTAGGACATTCAGTGTTGATACTAAGGTAAAAACTATCTGCAAACTTCAATGCCAAGGGAAAGTGCAAGTTTTAACCCACAGAACCTCATATTTGAAACTGCCTTGTGCTAAACTGCCTGGCTAATATTTGATCTGAATTATCTAAATATTTAAAATATTGAATGTGTTATCTGTCATGGAAAAAAGGTTGTATTTTCTAAAATGCCTTACTTTCTGCAAAGGTCCTGAATTTGTGTAACCAAGTGATTGTAAGGGCAAGGAATTCTGAATGCTATCAAATCTACAGGTCAGGTATCTAGTATTATGTTTAGAAAGATAAAATGTCTCTCATCTGTAGTATTTCAATTGGCTTGTATGCTTTTCTGTCTTCTTTTGTAAGGCACCTAAAACAGGGAGACATGAAACGCTCGTGTTAGTTTATATTCCCAGATTAAATTGTTGGCCCTCTAATTATCATACTCTGTAAGTATGATAAACACTGCACAAAGTAAGAAGCATTTCACAATATTGATTTGCTGAAGCCAATGGAATTCCTGAAGAATTACTCAGATCTCTGGGTGGCTGATGAAAATGAAATCAACCTCTACCCACCAGTTCAGAACTTGTCATACCAGATTACAGATTGCAGCTACCTTGCCTTGCAGTTCTTTGTAATCATTGTAGCTGCATTACACAGCTTGAAATTGGAAGTTTTCCTGAAGTTTTTACTTATTTCAGATGACTATTTCATATTACTATCTTTATTTCAGGTCAGTATCTTTACCTGCCCCTGGGGGCACACACAGCACAATTGTGACAGGATATTATGCAAATAGAGGTCTATCTTATGCTTAGATTCTGGTTATATGACATGGTTATTCTTTTGATATCTGTTAAAGTATTCTAGAGGGTTTGCCTTCAATCTTCTCCTTACACTTAAGATGCAAATATTATATAGCTGATTCTGTAGAGTGCTGGGCAACCTGATTAATTCTACACTTAGAGATTAACGTTTTTGAGAAATAGAGTCAACAATGCATACATGTGTATAAGCACTCCCAAGGAACAGTGACACCAGAGACAGCAGAAGTGTACCTGCACTGACCATAGCAGGGGGTGGGCTGCAGCTTGCATCGTCCTCTGTTCTCATACCTGCCTACATGCCATCTAGGTAGGATCCCTATTGACAGTCTGCAGATGTTCATCATCATGCGGTTGGTATATAAAACTGAATTAGTATTCTTATTGAAAGTGTTGTAGACTTTTCATTCACTTGTTTTGCACACTTCCAGAAAAGCATGGCTAGATCTTGACTGGTGTTTTCCACTGCAGCTAGTCAAAAATGAACTGTTTCCACCAGCCTGTGTGCCCTGTGCATATTCAACTCTTCTCTGTGCTGGCTGACAACTGGAATACT